TGAGTTTGTTAATAGAGATGCAAAATGTAAAAAAAATGTAATTTGACTTCCATATATAATACTTATTCACCATACTTGTACTGGTTGCTAAAATGCAAAAGAAACACAAGTTGGCTTAGATATATGGCCAATGAAAAAAGTTTTGGACACCAAAAATATAAACTTTTGATAAATAACATACTGCATTTTCTAAGCTTAATGGGCCTTTTAATCAAACCTGAATAAATGAAAAACAAACAAATGATGGCTCTGGTATATGGACAATGACTGACTCTTTGGACACAAAACAAAATTAAGCTTTTGAAAAATAAAAGGGATTGTATTTTTTAAGGCTTAATTGGCCTCTAAAACAAAAAGGTATAACTGTTTAACTGATTACATGTCCCAAAATATTTCTTTATATAAAATAATGTTATCTTATTTTCATAAAAGCATTGCAATAGCATGTCACTTAAACAACAAACATGTATATATATGTGATAACATGCTTACATATGCACTTGATTGATTGATTCATTCATTCATTCAGAATAAAGGCACAGACATGTGTAACATATGTTTATATATAACATATCTTAATCCTGGTACATGTATATATTTACATATGTACTAGATACATTCATTCATTCATTCATTCATTCATTCATTCATTCAGAATAAAGGCATAGACAAGTGTACCATATGTTTATATATAACATATCTTAATCCTGGTACATGTATATACTAACATCAGCAAGCATAAAAAAACTAACTTAGCTTTAATAAAATGTAATTTTATCTTTACTGTCTGAAAACATTTAATTTTCAGTCTTAACATCATATGTATCCACAGGTACTGGGCTGAACTACATTCATCACAAATGAAGTGTATTTGTTTATATGCATGGGTTACCCATTCACATTTATACTGATTCAATTAAAATTTACATTTTCTCAGTGCAAAATATTTCAAAAACTAGGCAATCCTTTAATGGTAAATTTTATTTCAAAGTAATGGTACTTAAATGTGCGAAAAATCAAAATATAAAGAAGACAAATGTAACATTTTTACTGAAATATTGAAATAAGCTGAGTAATTATAGACTGACAGATATTTATGTCATAATTAATTTAATAACACTTTAAAATTTTATTGTAAACATTACATAATCATGGTTATAAATAATTTTATAACCTATGGCTGTCGGGGTGAAAATGGCAATTTGTCATCACGAGAACTGGTATATCCCCAAGGGGCATTCATAAACTGGTACATATTTCCTAAGTGTAACCAAAAACTGGTATATATACCTGAGGTGCCACTGAGAACTGGCATATTTCTTCAAAGGGCAGCCGAGTACTGGTATATTTCTGCAAGGGACAGCAAAGTACTGGTACACATGTTGATGACGAAGGGGCTGGTATTTGCCAATGGGGCAGACAAGAACTGGTATATTTCCCCCAAGGGTAAGTGAAGAACAGACTGAGTGGTATATATCCTCAAGGGCGATACATATCCAAAAGGCCAATAGCCGAGAATTGCTATTTATCCTGCTACTGTCTTAATCATCAGCTGGATAAAGCCTTGCCGGATAAACTTATCTATCTCCAGTCATATGATGACGTCACACGGTTAGCAGCAAAACAAAACTACTTATAGATGTTATTTTATCGGGGAAAAAAGAAGAATGAAACCATATAACTATTCTAAAAACATGATTAAAAGCAGGATAAATCAAAAACATGGTTGATGTCGGGATGGAGAAGGTTTATCCGGTGAGCGAGAAAGTATAACTTGGTGAGCTTTAGCAGGCCAAGATTCACTTTCGCAGCAAACTGGATAAACCTTCTCCATCCCGACATCAACCATTTATTTTCTATATATCCTCAACGTGCAGCATAGAACTGGTATATATCCTATCCACACGCTGCACTGCTGCAAACGTGTATATATACCAAAGGGACTGCAGAGATCTGGTAAATATATCCCCTATGGGACAGCAGAGAGACAAAAAAGAAAGTTTGAAGGGTTTGCAATATGCACTTGCACCTGACAGCCATGTGTTAATTCATTGTAAATATATTTTTATATTAAAGGATATATAATGGGTAAAGTTATAAAAGGATACATAATATGTATAACAGTATATACTAGTACATCCAAATTAACAGTTTATTTTTTCCTCTAAGGGTTATCTTTACAATTTACAAATAATACACATTTAAAGTTCTGTTAAAGGAGCTCCACTAAGGTCTAAAAGAATAAAAATAGAAAATCCAAAAGAGATCAAATTGTGTACTTAATACTAAAACAAAAAGGCCATGGTGGTCCTGAAAACACTCACCTGTATATAGGGCGGGGCCAATATATTGACAGCAGGGCTTTCATTTGTACAAACTTGGTAGACACTGACTAGACAATGTTTCATGCAAAATATTGAAGCTCTAGCTCTTCCGGCTTTTTAAAGAAGATCTTTTAAGTTTTTTATTTTTGTTGTCATGGCAACCAGAGTTCTGCATGGAATTAAATTCTTTGAACATTTTTTAAAATTGACTACCAAAGGAACGTTCCTGTGAAGTTTGGATGAAAATGGCTTTGCGGTTTATGAGGATATGTCGTTTAAAGTAAAATTTTACTGACGGACAGACGCCAGACGTAAAGCGATCACAAAAGCTCACCATGTCACTATAAAACAGGTGAGCTAAAAATATAGAAATAATACTAAAGAAAAATACTCAGAATTAAATTGAAAATCGATATTCATTAAGCGTATTTTTTTAACAAAGTTAACCTATAAAGATTTAAACAAAATTTTAAACAACAAGAGCTGTTGACATCAAAGTGCCCTCAACTATCCACAGTGATGGACATTGCAGAATTCTTTAGCTTTAAAAAGGGAAACAATTCTGTCGAATATCTATGTGCCTAGTGACGTCCTATTATTCTCATATTGTTTGTGAAATTTAAACGAGAAAAAAATATCAGAGGCATGGGATTTGTGTTAGTCATGTTAAATAATTTAAGACAGCAAGCATGTCATTTTTGCCTTCAGTAGTTCTTTAGATACCAACTTGCACACATAAAAGTAACCTAAGTTTGATGCCAATGCAGTAAGTACTATTATAGCATTAGTTATTCATTGAATAGTCGAGCTAAAATGGTTACTAGTATTTTGGAAAAACAAAGTGAGCAAATAATCTGATATTTTGCATACAAATTTTATACATGAAAAGTAATATATCTTCTTCAAATAGTATAAAACCTCAACAACATAACTCCCGTCCTATCATGTCAAGAAATTAAGAAAATATTATCCTCAGTGGTGACCCTTTAACGATACTGTTTGAATAATACTGACTAACAGTATAAACTTGTACACATTTATGGTTTTCCATAATTACAATTTGTAAATTTTTACAATCTTTACAATATAAAACAATCAAAGAAGGAATGTCTAAAATATAACATGTAAATGGTCCTCATCTCAATGAAACAATTTACTTGTCCTATATATCATCTAACAGGTATTTTTATAATACTGCACGTTTGTAACGTCATTTTTCATTGGATAATCGTGACGTTTATATAGTTTTATATACACGGCTGCTGTCGATTCATGAAGAAATCTTACTTTTTTTCTCTAATAATGATGATTGCTGTATTATAAATTCGTTATAAAGATTGTTGACAGGTTATATGGCCGTATATAAACGGCTGTTTGCAATATAACCCTCGCCTACGGCTCGGGTTATATTTACAAATAGCCGTTTATATAGGGCCATATAACCTGTCAACGATCTTTATAACTAATAATATATACCATTCCTTGTCTAAATATTGTATAACAGGTATTCATTTATACCATTCCATTTTCCTTTACATCTTATAACTGGTATTGATATATACCATTTCATTTGCATATTTAACATATAATATACATATATGGTATTTTTATATACGATACACTTGTCCTAAATGTCATATAATTGGTATTTATATATACCATTCCATTGTCCTAAATGTCATATTGGTATTCATATATAACATTCCCTTGTCTTATATATCATATAACTGGTATTTATATATACCATACTCTTATCCTATATATCATATAACTGGTATTAATATATACCATTCCCTTGTCCTATACATTATATAACTGGTATTCATATACAAATGTATACCATTCCCTTATCCTATATATCATATAACTGGTATTGATATATACCATTCTCTTGACATATTTCTCATATAACCGGTATTTACATATACCATTCCCTTATCTTATCATATATATTATAAATATAACTGGTATTTGAATGTTATATTTATCTTTTACTTTTTCTGACCTTGTACATTAAATTTCTGTTTTATGATATTTCTATTCAAATTTCTTATTATATATACTTATTGATTAATTTATATACTTGCTAATCTAATTATGTATTTATAATTCAAAGAACCTATTACTTTTTCAAATTATACTTTTCACAAACTATCCCTGATCTTTAAAAAAACAGTTACCTATATGTTCTTTATATTTAACTGCATTTCTTTCATTTATTCATTGAAATACACATTTGAATATTACTTTCATCAATTTCAATATTACTACAATGACCAGAAATTGATATTTAATGATCTGTTTTTGATGATTGTTATCTATCATATTGCTATACATTCATTAATTAACATATCAATATGTAACTTAAGTATTGTTTTTATTATTTTTTTTTTTGCTGATAATGTTTATTTTAATAATTATGTCTTTTTATCATGAAATAATATAGATCAAGCACTATGTTAACTGCATGTATTCTCTCTCACTATGTTAAAAAATCAGATAATTTTCTTTTGTCGAAAAACCAAATGAAAAAACCAAATTATCATCTCTTTTAATAATTTAGTTTAAACACTTCATGTATTCTAAATTGATACTTTTATCCCCTTTTTGTTGAAAATTCAAACAAATCATCTCTTTTAACATGCAATAATTTATGTTTACTACAGGTTTACTTTATCACTTTTTTGTTGAAAATACAAACTTAATATAATCATCAAGTTTAACATGAAATAACTGATCCTTATCCTTTACATACTGTATAGCATCATTTACCTTCTCTCCACCTAGTGCTTGATATGTCAATGTTAACCTACCAACATTAAACTCCTTACCATCTCCTGTTATATAACAGTCCCTTACACTCACATCTACTGTATGAGGAATACTAGAAAGACTATCAATAAACTTTTGCCATGTTGTCAAACTCATTATGACATCAACAAGCTTAATGTTCTTTAAACTCTTCATCTCTAAAGGTAACTGTATTATATTGTCAGTTAACCTACAATACCCTAACTCAAGCTTACTGAGATTGTGTAACAATGGTAATACTGTGACAAGTCTCTTTGTTATGTTGGTATGATATAATTGAGATTTATTGTTATAATCTCCATACAATTCAAGTTCTTTTAATTTGTAAGATTTTCTAATAATATCAAATATTTTCTCATAATTACTATCTTTCAATTCACCAAAGTTCAATATTTCAAGGTTTGTAGTATCAGCATCTATCACTCTAACAGTATTACACAGATAAAGGTACTGAAGTTGTTGATTTTTTGTTAAATTTTCATCATGCTGCTTCATACACCCACATTTAACACTATCAAGATGTATTTGTTCAAGATGACTGGTTCCCTCAAGAAAATTACAAAATGTAGTAGTATCATCACGACTCATTGTTATATATCTCACACTTATTGCTACAAGATTGATCATACTAGGTAGGTTACTAACAACTGTTTTATACACTGGGTAATACTTGTCAGTGTCAGAGACATCATCAAGAGTCAGAGATTTTAATGTTGAAGTATTTAATTTAATTGTCTCAAAAACACAATTGTTTATCTCATCAATCCACTGTTCATTACTCTGTGTACTTGATAACCTTTGTGATTCAGATCCATATCTAATTTCAATTTTTTCAAGATGATGAAACATTGGTAAATATTTTGTAAATTTAACATTTTGTGTGTTGATGTAACGTACATTAATAGACAGAACAGTGTCAGGAACAATTTGATGCTGGTCAATACTTGAACAAACAATATCACAATACTGACCCCGTCTACCAGTGACCAAATCTCCTATATAAAATACAGGATTACTTCCTATACTACATGTTGCATTTAATTCTTCCATTGAATCAAACATAAGCTTTTGAATATCAGTAATATATCTAGTTTCAGAATCAATAAAATATAAATCTCCATTACTTATTGTTCTCCTGTATTCCTGGACACGAGAGTCTTTTGACACAGTATCATATATGTATTTTGATACATGAGTTGCTAATCTAGGTTCAAGACCAGATAGCATAATGATGACATTTGACTGCTCTAATATGTCATTGACTGTTGAACAATTCCGAAAAACCTCACAAATAAACTTTTTGACTAATTCAACATTTCCTGTACTATCTGATGAACACATTTTTGCATTGAAATTTATACCAATATTCACTGCAGCCAGAAATTCTTGCATTGATTTGTGAATAAAAGAGAACAATGAGCTTGGTGGTTCTGATACAGATAAACTTGGACATTCATCTTCTGTCATTATTCCAAGTTTCAAGCAATTTTCTCTTACTTCATCTGATATTTCTAGTTCATCAAACATACAAATGTCAAATGTCAAGGATTTATCCTTCGGACAATTAAATAGTGTCTCATAAGCCAACTGTGACACTTCATAAATGAAATGGCGGTTTAATCTTAATTTGGTTTTATCGGCTAAATATTTAGGAAGATCTACTTTCTGGGTCCCCTTCATGAGTCGAGTACTTGTTCCTGTAGTTTTCATGTCATTCCATGTGAAGAATAATTCTAACATACCGGTGTAGATGGCACATCTTGAGGTTTTATCGAGTTTACCATCAAACCATAGACATATCAGTTGTTGTAGCATAATTGGTACCTGTTTTAAACTTTCCAGAGACTCTTCTTCTAGCTTTTCCCTACAATCTCTTGCTTCTTTATTAGCATGTCTATTTACATTTAATTGTGAGACTGTCCTATTTACCATTTCCCTTTCACATCTAAAATCAAACCCTTTCAGATTCAGCGACTGTTCAATCTCAACATCACTTGATCTTAATGTATGAAATTTCCATGGCCGCGAAGTAGTTAATATTGTGTACTCCTTAAAGATGCTATGTTCTGGGACATTTTCAGAGGACCATTCATCTAAGCCATCAAGCAAAATCATAACTCTAGAGGATTCCTCTTCAAGAAGTGTGTTTAACATTTTCATTTGATAACGTTTTTGAAGCATTTCATCAATAGTGTCAATGTTTTGATACTGTCTAAGAGGGATGTAAAATACAAAATCAAATTTCTTCATCTCTTTTACACCATTGAATTTCAGTTCATAATTTTTGCTATCATATTCAGAGTCATCACTGTCAAATTCAGAGTCTTTTAAGTCACCATCAGAGCCGTCACTATCGGATTCAGGGTCATTTAATTTATCAACAGAGCCATCACTATCAAATTTAAAGTCTGTTATGATATCATCAGTGTCATCACTGTCGAATATGTAGTCATTTAATCTATCAACATAGCCATCACTGTCAAATTTAAAGCCTGTTAAAATATCATCAGAGTCATAAATGTTAGATTCGGAAGGCATTGAGTCACCATCAGAGTCATCATTGTGGGATTCGGAGTGTACTAAGTCATCGTTGTTATCTTGAATGTCATCACTGTCACTTCCATTTTTCTTCATGTCACCAACATGTTTTTCATCTCCTCGTTTCTCATTAACATCTTGATGTGTCTTACTGCCCTCTTTGCTTTCAATGTCTCCATTATGTGTCCCCTTTACCTCTTCATTTACAATGTCACTTCCTCTTTTTTCATGTTCTTCAAAATCACCTCTGTGTTTCTTTTTGCCATCTTCAATTTCATCGACACCTCCAGCTCCATGTGTTTCATGTCCTTCATTATCACCTCCTTGTTCCTCATTGCCACTGTCATTTTCATTGACACCTCCATATTTTTCACCGTCACCTTCATGTTTTTCACCGTCACCTTCAGGTTTACTACTGCCATCTTCATTTTCATTGCAAGCTCCATGTTTTTTACTGTCATCTCCATGTTTTTGACTGTCGCCTTCAGGTTTACCACTGACATCTTCATTTTCTTTGCCAGCTTCATGTTTTTCACCGTCACCTCCATGTTTTTCACTATCGCCTTCAGGTTTACCACTGACATCTTCATTTTCGTTGCCAGCTTCATGTTTTTCACCGTCACCTCCATGTTTTTCACTGTCACCTTCAGGTTTACCACTGCCATCTTCATTTTCATTGCCAGCTCCATGTTTTTCACCGTCACCTCCATGTTTTTCACTGTCACCTTCAGGTTTACCACTGCCATCTTCATTTTCGTTGCCAGCTTCATGTTTTTCACCGTCACCTCCATGTTTTTCACTGTCGCCTTCAGGTTTACCACTGCCATCTTCATTTTCATTGCCAGCCCCATGTTTTTCACCGTCACCTCCATGTTTTTCACTGTCACCTTCAGGTTTACCATTGCCATCTTCATTTTCATTGTCAGCTTCATGTTCCTCACTGTGTGCCAAACACCAACAGTTGACCAGATATTTACAAAAACTAGTTTTTCCTGACCCTGCATCTCCTAGAACATATACAGATTTTTGGGGGACTCCGTTCTTTGTGAAGATTTCTGACATTGTTTTAACCTCCACCTCCTTTGTCTCACCCTTTTCTCCTTTTATTTCCCTCGTTATTTTGGGCCTAATATAAATCTCATTAAAGCTACATTTTTCACTTTTTGGTTGTAAAGGTGTTGTAGGAACTTGCAGCAGGGTTTTTTGATACTGTTCAATCAGCTTTTCTCGCCATTCTGTAATTTAAATGATAAAATGACATCAAATTGTTATGGACAAATCAATGAAAAATGGGTCAAAGACAGAAAAGGCCGGGTTGCATTTGTACACCAAATATCATGAGGCTGTGATGTTACGAAAAAAAAATTTCCATTGACCCATTAATGTCGAAAATTTAATTCAGTAGGTACACCTGAAATCAAATCCCACAGTATGGGACCATGTGTCAATGCTGTATGCCAAATATCAAGAGGCTGTGATTAGTAGTTTCTGAGAAAAATGTTACGAAAATTTCCTACCATTGACCATTAATGTGAACAGGAAGTGGATGAGCTGCAGACTTGAAATCGAATCCCACAGTATGGGACCATGTGTCAATGCTGCATGCCAAATATCAAGAGGCTGTGATAAGTAGTTGCTGAGAAAACTGTTACGAAAATTTCCTACCATTGACCATTAATGTCGAAAAATCTAACTAATTTTACTAAGTGGATAAACAGGAAGTGGATGAGCGACAGACCTGAAATCAAAACCCACGGTATGGAACCATGTGTCAATGCTGTTTGCCAAATATCAAGAGACTGTGGTAAGTGGTTGCTGAGAAAACTGTTACGAAAATTTCATACCATTGACCATTAATGTCGAAAAATCTAACTAATTTAACTAAGTTGATAAACAGGAAGTTGATGAGCGACAGACCTGAAATCGAATCCCACAGTATGGGACCATGTGTCAATGCTGTATGCCAAATATCAAGAGGCTGTGATAAGTAGTTGCTGAGAAAACTGTTACGAAAATTTCCTACCATTGACCATTAATGTCGAAAAATCTAACTAATTTAACTAAGTGGATTAACAGGAAGTGGATGAGCGACAGACCTGAAATCAAATCCCACGGTATGGGATCATGTGTCAATGCTGTATGCCAAATATCAAGAGGCTGTGATAAGTAGTTGCTGAGAAAACTGTTACAAAAATTTCCTACCATTGACCATTAATGTTGAAAAATCTAACTAATTTAACTAAGTGGATAAACAGGAAGTGGATGAGCGACAGACCTGAAATTGAATCCCACGGTATAGGACCATGTATCAATGCTGTATGCCAAATATCAAGAGGCTGTGATAAGTAGTTGCTGAGAAAACTGTTACGAAAATATTTTCCCCGCCCACCCGCCTGCTGCCAGACATTCACCATACTATAACCCGGATTTGCACCAGTGCAACCCGGCCAATAAATAATACAGAAATATATTTAAGAAATGAACACAGCACTGATGGCCTCCTTGAATTATTAAGATCAATCAGCCAGTCAGCAAACATTAAAAAGCCTATGACAGTTTATGACAAGAGACAGGCACTACAAAATCACCTGCCAAACAAGGGCAACATTGTCGCAATAACCACAGAAACATTTGACAGAAGTGTGGGCATTATAGACATGCATATAGGAGATATTATGCTCTGGGCAATATCTGGAAAATATCTGTACATTAAGACATGTGTTTTTTTCCTGAACTTAAACCCCTAAATGTGACCTTGACCTTAGCCGCTGCGAACTAAATTTTGTACGCAACACTCTGACTCACATTAGTGTCAAGTTATATTGAAATCCCTCTATGCATGTAGAAGTTTTGCTCTGGACAAACTTTTTCAACGACCTCTAAGTGTGACATTGACCTTTGACCTAGAGGCCTGTTTAATGCACAAGACACATCTTCACATAATGGTTAACATTTCTATTAAAATTCATTAAAATTCCTCCATGGGTGTAGGAGATATGATACGGATAAAAATTGGACGCATTTTTTTTTATTGTGTTCTTTTCTTCATAATGAAACATAACACTGTGAAATCATTATTATTCGCGGGGCACAAATTTTCGTAGTTTTCGTGGATAGGTCAATCTACGAATTTAAGTCCCGACGAAATTTTATCTCAACATATATTTCTTACCATGTCTCTGTTCCATATATCACAACATGAGTCAGCACTTTTCCGGCCGATTTTTGTGGTATGAATGTATACTAATAATCAGGTCAGTGACAAATTAAATCGATAAATAGTTTAGTATTGCAATATTTAAGAAACTTGAAAAACAAGAGGGCCATGATGGCCCTGGATCGCTCCCCTGACCCATCAACCGCATCCAAGCAATGTCTTAGACAAGCATCCTGGCCAAAATGTGACCTCTAGTGTGTTAAAAAGGTTTTTTTTCAAAGTTGGGCAATGCGACCTAATTTTTAACTGGAGCTGACCCATATTCGAACTTGACCTAGAAATCATCAAAACAACCTTTCTGGCAAATTTCCTGAATATTTGGATCAAAACTGGAGCCACTACAGTATTATAAAGATTTTCCTATTTTTAGCTCCTGTGACCTAGTTTTTGACCGGAGATGACCAATCTTCGAACTTGACATAGAAATCATCAAAACAACCTACCTGTCAAATTTCCAAAATATTTGTATCAAAACCGCAGTCACCAGAGTGTTAACAAGCTTTATCTATTTTTAGCTCCTGTGACCTAGTTATTGACCAGAGATGACCCATCTTCGAACTTGACCTAGAAATTATCCAAACAACCTTCCTGACAAATTTCCAGAATATTTGGATCAAAACTGTAGCCACTTGAGTGTTAACAAGCTTTTTCTATTTTTAGCTCCTGTGACCTAGTTTATGACCGGAGCTGACCCATCTTTGAACTTTATCTAGAAATCATCAAAACAACCTTTCTGACATATTTCCAGAATATCTGGATCAAAACTGCAGCCAGTAGAGTGTTAACAAGCTTTTTCCATTTTAGCTCCTGTGACCTAGTTTATGACCGGAGATGACCCATCTACGAACTTGAACTAGAAATCATTAAAACAATCTTCCTGACAAATTTCCAGAATATTTGGATCAAAACTGCAGCCAGTAGAGTGCTAACAAGCTTTTTCTATTTTTAGCTCCTGTGACCTAGTTTATGACCGGAGATAACCCATCTTCAAACTCGATCTGTAATTCATTGAGACAAACATTCTGACAAAGTTTGACAATGATCCAATCAAAACTGTGACTGCTAGACTGTTAACAACCCAATTGTTGACGACGCACAACGCAAGACGCACAAGGCACGACGACGGACGCCGGACATAGCCCCATCACTATACCTCACCTTGACCACTTCGTGGTCAGGTGAGCTAAAAATCCATTGTATGTCTTCAGTTTGCTGTCACAAATATCATCATGGGGACTACTTGATCGTTGAAGCCTATTTGATTGTGTTAGCCAAAATACGTGACATAATCCAGTAAATATGGAAACCCAGTGCATTAGTTAGCGCCAATAAAACTTTACACGACTAGTGTTTATATGATCCATTTAAATAAATTTCAATATGTATTTGTGTGACTGCTTTTCCTAAAATATCAAAGAAGCTTCCGTATTTTTACTAGATACACACATACATATCTAACAGTATTGAGGCACTTACTCGTATTAATTTATATGTATATCAATTTACGCAGTCGTAGTGTGTAGTTTTGGACCATTTCGGGGCGAAAACTTTTTAAATCGCTGGTGACAGATGACGTATTATTTATGCGATGTTTACATTGGCGAATTATAGGGGCAGTGTTTCCAATGGAGCTGCATATCATGTCACACAATTGCTGTCAATTATGGGTACTACTGTCTTGTGATTAAGTGAAAAATAATACTTTCCATTGATAATATTTTTTTTACAAGAAAATGAAAATCCACAAATTTAAGAACCCAAGAAAATGCCAGTTTGATAAAACCACGAAATTTCATGTCCACATATACAAATGATTACACAGTACTTGATATGATATGAAACATCAAAGCGTTGCCCTGTGCGGTGCGGTTTGAAATTGGGGTTAGCAATAACTCTACATGTAGCTGGGAAAAGTACTGGCAACTAAAAATGGAACCTTTCACAAATGGCCCATATTCATTGTTACTATACATCTGCAAAGTAAAGCTTTCTTTTTTTCTTTTTATACTGGAACCTTGTCAATTCCATTTTTTAATCAATTTTTAATCAGGATAACAGTTTGGCTATTAAAAATCTTAAAAAGAAAAAAATTACAGAAAAGAGGGAAAAAAAGAATGGATTTTTTTTGTGAAAATGAACTGAAATATCTTGACTTAAACTTGCCCAGCCAATTTTCAACTTTGCAGGGCAAGTGGGCAATGGATTATTTTTAAACTGTTTTTTTTTGCAAAGTACAAACATTTACATTTTTATTTGTAAAATGTATTGGGGGTACTGTATGAGGTAAGTTAGAACACTATTTTCCTAAAGAAAATTTTTGAGTTTTTTGGTGGTGTAGCGGTCCATGCATTTGGTAGAGTGGGTCTTGAATAAAACAAACTTTTGTGTAAGCAAAAAAGTGTTATCTATATGACAACAGCTAGGGTTTTGTAATAAATGATTCATTACAGTCACACAAATATATAAACAAGAGGGCCATGATGGCCCTGAGTCGCTCACCAGAAACAACTGCTTTTCAGTGTTGGAAATTATTCATTGTCAATTTTTTTCTATAGAATATGTTTAAACAATAATTTTAAGAAATCCCATGATCTGGGGCATTTAAGCTTTAGCTTAATTGGGGCCAATCAAATTAATATGAGCAAACTTGATAAAAGACTACCTAAGAATGCTACAAAGTTTGGTGATAATCTTTGAATTATTTCAGTAGGAAATGATGTTCAAAGATTTTTCTATTTTTGGCTTTAGTGGCCCCAAAAAGGGGCTAATCAAATTAATATGAGCAAACTTGATAAAAGAGTATCTAAGAATGCTACAGACAAAGTTTGGTGATCATCCATCAATTAGTTCTGTAGAAATAGACGTTAAAAGGTATTTCTTTTTTTAGCTTTACATATGTAGCTGCCTCTAAAAGAGGCTAATCAAATTAATATGAGCAAATTTGATAAAATACTACATAAGAATGCTACAGACAAAGTTTGGTGATCATCCATCAATTAGTTCCATAAGATGTCTGAAGGTTTTTCTATTTTTAGCTCTAATGACCCTAAAAGGGGCCAATCAAGTTAATATGATCAAACTTGATAAAAGACTACTTAAGAATGCTACAGACAAAGTTTGGTGATCATCCATCAATTAGTTCTGTAGAAATAGAAGTTAAAAGGTATTTCTTATTTTAGCTTTAGCTGCCCCTAAAAGGGGCTAATCAAATTAATATTAGCAAATTTGATAAAATACTACCTAACTACAGACAAAGTTTGGTGATCATCCATCAATTAGTTCCATAAGATGTCTGAAGGTTTTTCTATTTTTAGCTCTAATGACCCCTAAAAGAGGCCAATCAAGTTAATATGATCACAGTTGATAAAAGACTACTTAAGAATGCTACAGACAAAGTTTGGTGATCATCCATCAATTAGTTCTGTAGAAATAGAAGTTTAAAGGTATTTCTTTTTTTAGCTTTAGCTGCCCGTAAAAGGGGCTAATCAAATTAATATGAGCAAATTTGATAAAATACTACCTAAGAATGCTACAGAAAAAGTTTGGTGATCATCCATCAATTAGTTCCATAAGATGTCTGAAGGTATTTCTATTTTTAGCTCCAATGACCCCTAAAAGGGGCTAATCAAATTAATATGAGCAAACTTGATAAAATATTACCTAAGAATGTTACAGACAAAGTTTGATAAACATCCATCAATTAGTTCTGTAGAAATAGACGTTCAAAGGTATTTCTATTTTTAGCTTTAGTGGCCCCTAAAAGGGGCCAATTTAAATAACATGAGCAAATTCAAGTGTGACTGGCACAAGGATGCTACAGACCAAATTTTAAGTAAATCTGCCCAGCAGTTTCAGAGAAGAAGATTATTGTTGACACATGACGGACACCGCAGTATCCCCTTTGATACTAGCTGATAGCTCAGTATGAACCTTCGGTCCTGGTGAGCTTATAATACATATCAACATAATATTAATATAACGAATATATGAAATGAATGACCAAACAATGACACAAAGTCATTCCAGTATAGCCCCAACCATATAATGTGGTAGGGTATAATGAAATGTTAATTGCATGAATTTCATAATAAAATATAATTTAGAGTCTTATCATTATATAAACCTGTACAATTACAAAGTAACAATGACCTTTACTTGTTTTTAATTAACAAATGTCATACACTTGTATATACACCATCAAAACAAATATTCACTCACCTAACTTGGCTTGATCATAATCTGTCTGACTTTGACCTGAGAAAGTTTCTGTCTTAATTTTTGCCATTTCCTGCAAAAACAAATCATTCACTTTACTCCATAAAATTATAGTACAAAAATAATCAACAATATATTATTAACTTAAGTAAAATTACCACCATAAATTGCCCCATTTAATCACTTATGCTAAAAGGGCTCTCTTAAGCATTTTGAGACTGGGGCCAGGGTCCATGCAGGAGGGGAATTTTGCATGATTTTCAAATATTTTTCATTCAAGGGGAAATTTCAACAGAAGAAAATTTTAATTAATTAAAAACAAGGGAAAACAAGATTCAGGTAAAAAAATTATCAACAAAAAGCTGCTGTCATGAAATATTTTAGTTATTTCCAATGTTTGTTTGTTTGTTTGTTTTGGGTTTTACGTCACACCGACACAGTAGAGGTCATTTGGCGACGTTCAAGCTATACTGTTGAAGAAAGACCTCAGGCGCCATTCCTTGCATTATTCCAGGCATGAACGGGCACCTGAGTAGAACCACCGACGTTCCGTAAGCTAGCTGGATAGCTTCCTCACATGAAAGAATCCAAAGTCCCTGTCGGGATCCGAACCCACAGCGTTGAGGGGCAAGTGGTTTGAAGTCAATGACCTTAACCACTCGGCCACGGACAATATCTCATTCCTAACTCCACTTATTTTCCATAAACCATTTTACTTTTTTTAGTAACAGTAACCTTGTTCTTGACCCCAGGGGGGTCCAAAAGCAATACCAGCTAGGGTCTTCATATAAGCCTACTAAAAATTACACCAAGTTTGATTACAATATCTCATTCCTAACTCTAGTTATTGTCCAGAAACCATTTTTCTATTTTTACACTGTAACGGTGATCTTGACCCTAGGGGGTCCAAATGGAATACCAACCCAGGTCTTCATATAAGCTTGCTATCCGCCAAGTTTGATAACAATATCTCATTCCTAAATCTAGTTATTGTCCGGAGACCATTTTTCTATTCTTAGTAACGGTGACCTTGACCCCCGGGAGTCCAAATGCAATACCAACCCAGGTCTTCATATAAGCTTGCTATACACCAAGTTTGATTACAATATCTCATTCCTAACTCAAGTTATTGTCCAGAAACTATTTTTCTATTTTAAGTAACGGTGACCTTGACCCCAGGGGGCCCAAATGCAATACCAACCCAGGTCTTCATATAAGCTTCCTTTACGCTAAGTTTGATAACAATATCTCATTCCTAACTCTAGTTATTATCCGAAACCATTTTTCTATTTTTAGTAACGGTGACCTTGACCTTGACCCCTAGGGGTTCAAATGCAATACCAACCTGAGTTTCTACATAAGGTTGCTATATACCAAGTTTGATTACAATACCTCATTCCAAACTCTAGTTATCGTCCGGAAACCATGATGTGGACTACCGACAGAGAGACTGACGGACCGCCTAACCAACCGACAAGCTGACTCCTATATACACCCCCCTAAACTTCATTTGTAGGAAGCACGGCTAACATTTAACCTTTTATAAGTGTGACGTTCATCATGAGCAAGCATATCTAATTGTGACCCTCTCCATAAGCCTGCACAGCTTACAATAAACCTTGAAGAATGACGTTATTTTAAATCAAAATTCAAACACTATTTTCTTTTGCAGCAGATAATAATGGCTACATACATTTCATACCCATTCTACATATAATGAACCTGGTTGCCTTTCCAGTTAATTGGCTAGATATTAAGTTTTAATATTTTTGCCATAAGAACTTAAATTATCAAGTTTTTTTCTTTACAATTAACATATTGTCTTTATCTTCTTTAATGCAAAGATGCAGATACAGGTGTGACACACATCGTTTAGCTAACAAGCAGAAGGAAATTTGTTTTACCTTTTTCTGTTCTGCAACAAGAGTCTCTAGGACAGTAAATTTCTTTTTTAAATCGACATGTTCTATTTCCATCTCGAGTTTTTCCTTCTTCTCCTGGACCATTTGTGATTCAAGTTCTGTGATTGTTTTCTTAAGATCTTTAAGCTCTTTTTCATTTTCAAGCTTTTCCCCATCCTTTTCTTCTGACATCTTGGTTTCAAATTCTATAAACTTCTTCTTTAGATCATCGTATTCCTGTTTAGTTGCAGCATCATCAATTGAATTTAGAACTTTTTTCATTTCTTCATTGATTTGTCCCAGAATATCATCAAAGTCTACAGTAGTTATAATGAAGTCCTTCTTCTTCAGCTAATGAAAAATATCAATTTCTTTTATATTTTCTTTCATAAAAAATGAAGCTATGTGAGTTATAATACTTACTCTTCTATGTAACATATTATATACAAGGTAAAATTTCAAAATTATCTCAATTGGTTTTTTATTTTAACTCTAATACTTTTTCTGAGGGCTTCTAAAATCTTCTTTTAAGGCAGGATGTGTGGTATAGTCATTTGATTGCCAGATTTACCTATTTTCATCACATTTGTTTTTCTTACCTATTACTAATTTTTTTTTTTGATGCGTTTATTTAAGGTCGCCGCCGGAAAGCCCATATGGGCAACCGTACACTCAAGTCGGGTCATCCTAGAGCGTCCCGCCGAGATTGTTTCCAGCTTTATTGGTGGAGGAAGACCCCAGGTGCCCCTCCGGTCATTATTTCAGGCACGAGGGGGCACCTGGGTAGAACCACCGACCTTCCATAAGCCAGCTGGATGGCTTCCTCACATGAAAGATTTCGACCAGAGTGAGGATCGAACATACAGTGGTGAGGGACCTGTGATCTCAAGTCAACGACTTTAACCACTCGGCCACGGAGGCCCCTCCTATTACTAACAAGCTTAGATCTGTATTTTTGATATTTACATTAAGAAGGTTTTTATAAATTATATTTTATTTCATCAGGATAAGTTAACTTAAGGCAGTTGTTACTTAAATTTAACTAAAATGAACTAAACTATTGCTGAATGCGATTCATACCCCCACCAATGTCCTTGACAGAAGATGACTTGGAAAGGAAGTTAAGGGAATAACTTTAGTGGCACAAATACATATAATTATATATAATGAAATTATCTCTGGTGAAAAAAGACAAATTTTACAGGAAATTGTATAAATATATATTGTCAAATCATGTTCAAAACAGTTACAAATAACCCTCCATTTTTCCAAACAAAAGCAGTGAAGTTGAAATAATAGCATAATTATGTCAAAATGTAATTAAGAGTGGAAAAACTTTGCATGTGACCCTTCATATATTATAAAGTTTCGAGTGAATATCTGTTCTAGTTTCAGAAACATTTAAGTATTAATGGTTATATCAGAACATTTTCTAAGCCAAAAAAGGGGCATAACTTGTGTAATAATTCAATGGAATGGAAGAATTTTCGTGAGCTCACTTGTTACCATTCATATTAAATTTAAGTTTCAAGTAAATATCTGTTCTGGTTTAAGAAATATTATAGTAAACAAGCAATAATCATAGTATTGCAAGCAATCCATAAGTCCCCTACCTGTTAGAACCCCAGCAACATTCTGATGGGCCATTGGCCATTCAATTTTACCAGTGAATGAATGACATGAATGAACTTAAATCTTTTGAGTTCTAAGTTTGTCTATATCACAGTAAAGTGTTAAGTTTCCCTGCCTAATAAGGAAATTATGTTTATACAACAGATAATCAAAAGGTCATTTTTTCTCAGGATGAATAAGTATAAATAATGTTTCAACTTTTCTCTACTTTAAGTAAATTTGTTGGAAAAAATCTTTAAAAGTGATCTCAGGAAACAGTTTTTATGAACAGACAGACAGACAGAATGAAGGAGACTCTTAAGTTACTTTTTTAAACATCACTGTTACCAAAATATAACATATTTTAATACAAAATTCTTAAAGAGGAGATAACTCTTGAAATAACGATACCAGTTTAATGAACATTGATGTGAGTTTTACTTTAAGTTTAAAGATACCATTTATTGCCACAAAGAAGATAATTAAAAAATAACAATTTTCAAATATAGCATTAACTATAATGTATAGTAAGTAACAAAGAAGAAAGTCCATGAAGAAATAAGAAAGTTAAAGAATGAATAAGAAAAATTCAAAGTTTAAGGAGGAGATAATTCTGAAAATATGGATCTAGATTTATAAACCTTGTCATATTATTATGATGTGGGATTTTAAAGTAAATCCTATAAGTAATGAAGAAGTTGGAGTAAAAAATACCAATTTCTCAAAAAAATCTAAGTTCAAGGGGGGCATAATTCTACAAATAGTCTTGCTAGAGTACTTAACCTTCTCACAAATGTAGAGTGATAATAAGAAACATACATATGAAGTTTGAAGTAGATACATTAAGAAATAAAGAAGTTATTTAAACAACAGGGCCATGATAGCCCTGAGGTCGCTCACCTGTTTACAGGCCCTGGAGCGAGGCCAGTTTAAACCCCAGGGCTTTTATTTGAACAAACTTGGAAGACACCCATTAGAAGATTTTTCATGATATTAAGTTTTTACTACACAGGTATAATGAAAAACAATGACCTCCTCCTTGTCACATATGATGTGATTGATGACCAGAAACTTATATTTAAAGTTTGAAGTAAACACCTTAAGAAATAAAGAACATTATAGTGAAAAAGCATAAACATTCAAATCAGAAATCTTGAAATTCAGTCTATTTGTTGCAATAGCAACCAGAATTTTCAACATAGGAAGAAAAGAAAAAACCTGCATAATCTCCATACTGCCATCTATCCATATATCAAGTTTTATTAAAATATTTTCAGTACTTTTTGCGTTATCGCGGGATCCAGTTTTGTGGACAGACGGACTGACAGACAGACAGAGGGTAAACCTAAATTCCCCTCTTGTTAAACCGGTAGGGGACCGATCTATTTAAAGACATAAAAATGGACTTAATTTTGTCAAAATACAATACAAAATTATCCCCCACCCCACTTTTTTTAGTTATGAAATTTGACCTGCATATCTTACTTGCGACACTTCGTACATATTTGAAGTTTCAAATGATTATCTGTTCTAGTTTTAGAAATATTCAAGTACATGTTAAAATTTCAGAAAATTTTCTAAGTCAATGTTTGACCGTCAAGTGTGACCTTGACCTTAAGCCGGCAAAAGGGTAACATGGGTTCTGCACATTACCTTGTTGAGGTGAACATTTGAGCCAAGACTGAAAAAAATCTTTCAATTAGTGTAGGACTACAGTGGACACGACATACTGTGTAATATTTGATTGTTTGATATTTGACCTTCAATTGTGACCTTGACCTTGAGCTGACACATGGGCAACATGGGTGTTGCACAACCCTTTGTTGAGCTGAACATTTGAGCAAAGTTTGAAGAAAATCCTAGGATGGACCGACCGACGCAACAAAGCGAATCCATTATACATGTAGCCCCCCTACCCACATTTTGTGGTGGGGGTATAAATTAACCACTTCAAGCACTTTTTTCTAGGTGACTCTGTAAAATTTGCTTATTCTAAATTATGATTTCAAACTTATGTACACTTACATCTTGAAGTTTCCTGACAGCTTGTTGTGCATCTTGTCGATGTAAAAGATCTTTACCATCTTGTAGAACAGCAATCATGTCATCGATATAACAATTAGCCTTGCTTTCCTCTAATTCCATATTGCTCGAGTGAAAAATTTCGTTTCGGTACTGCCGTACCTAATATACAGAAAACAAATAATACAACATTCACATAAATACAGTGTTCAGCAATGAGACACAATTCTTAAGTTGAGAATTAAAACTGTAACAAAGGAGTTACTTTAAAATATTTAACATAATAATCATGTGTTTAAACCGTAGATTAAATAAAAGCAAAGGGAATAGAAATGGCTTTTGATAAATGTTATACAGTCTAACTTGCCCATGCGACCACGTGTATTTAGCTTCTTGTGTCTTAAACAACCATTAAATTCCCCCGATCATTTTCTCTGTATATCTTTAATGTATTAAGCAACTTTTGCTCAACGTGACCAGCGATCACTAATTAGTCAGCTAATTGAGATCAATCTTTTCATAAAATGACCACTTTTACCTGTCAAGTAATTGTGTTTGAGGAGAGCGCCGCCTAGTAATGTCTCAAGTGTTAACAATCAAAACACAACAAATAAATGTGTGAAATCTCTCTTTCCTAAACTGTTTTAGTGTATACAAATGAAGTTAAGTATCGCGTGACGTGTACTATCTAATAATATCAAATAAACAATGCAACGCTCTGCCCCTACTGAGATGGTGTATACGCTTTGCTTGTTGACATTTAGACTGCATTGAATTGCCCTTGAACTTGATAAGCAATTAAATGAATCGTCACATAAATGTAGTTTTGTTTATTTCAAATGAAACAATGCACAACAGAAAACATCTTCACTAGTAGGATTTTCTTGTTGGAGATGAGGACAACGGAGAAATTAAAAAATTCTGGTAAAAATGTCAAACATGTACGTAATGTATTAAAACTATTTTGTCAATAAATATTAGAAAGTTATATTTTACATTAGCATCCATTTAGATTATAGGAGCGTACAAATTATTCCAAATTTATATAAATGAAGTTGAAAAACATTCTCACCGAAAAAGAAAGATGTTATTTATAAATTTTGACTTTTATATCATGCTTTGTCTTAAGAGACCGTTTTGCGACTGCTTTGGGTGTTTCCCTTTGCGCGATCGCTTAATACACGTTTGACTGTTATTATTTTACTGAAGTAACAGTATTTACTAGTCGCATTTGCTTATAAAGCACAAATAATAACTTCTGTACATTTTACAGTGAAGCTAAAAATATACAATATTTTTTGTTTCCCACCCTCAAAAATTACAGGTAGCCAAAAAATTGTATTACAAAAAATAAATATTTGTGAATACAATTTTATGCATAACAATTTTGTATCATTATTCATTTGTGGCAAACTGTTTGTCTGACAAAATAACTGTATTAGCCTCAAAGTTATATGGACATAATTTCACCTTAGTGCAGTAATGGGTTAACTCCTATAAAAACTAGAAGGGTTTTTGTCACAAAAACATATGTCTCCCAAAACCATGTAATATAATGGTCACTCATGTGAAGTTTCATTGAAATCCCACCACTTGCTTGACCTGTGAAAGCCAGACAAGATTGTTCTATTAATAGCTCTGACGGCCATTTTGTGCAGCAAAGCAGAACATTCAGGTGATATGCACAACAATGGATGGTACTGATCACTCCTGTAAAGTTTGGTTGAAATCCCACCAGTTGTTTGACCTGTGACTGGCAGACAAGATTTTTCTATTTTTAGCTCTGGTGGCCATTTTGTGCAGAGAAGCAGAACATGCCAGTAATGTGCACAACCAGGAATGGTAACTGATCACTCCTGTTAAGTTTGGTTGAAATCCCACCAGTAGTCTGACCCATAAAGGCTGGACAAGATTTTTCTATTTTAGGTCAGGCAGCCATTTTGTGCAACGAAGCTTAACATGCACGTGATGTGCACAATAAGGCATGGTACTGATCACTCCTGTAAAGTTTGGTTGAAATCCCACCAGTAGTTTGACCTGTGAAGGGCGGACAAGATTTTTCTATTTTTAGCTCTGGTGGCCATTTTGTGCATTGAAGCGGATCGTGCCGGTGATGTGCACAACTAGGAATGGTACTGATCTTTCCTGTAAAGTTTGGTTGAAATCCCACCAGTAGCTTGGCCTGTGAAGGGCGGACAAGATTTTCTTATTTTTAGCTCTGGTGGCCATTTTGTGCAGCAAAGCGGAACATGCCAGTGATGTGCACAACTAGGGATGGTACTGATCACTCCTGTAAAGTTTGGTTGAAATGCCACAAGTAATTTGACCTGTGAAGGGAAGACAAGCTCAATGCACACAGACCACAAACGGATGGACAGACAGACAGACGGCGAAGGCAAAAACAATATTAATTCAATAAGAGTTAACCAAAGACTGCACTAAGGTAACAATAATCATTTTTACTTTTATATGCAATTAACAGACAACATATTAATCTTACAGTAAAGCCTAATATTCTTCAAAATTTATAATAAACATATAGTATACAAATTGAGTAACCTTTGAAAAAAGATTGTTTGGTCCAGTAACATTGCATCCAATATGGCTATGAAAGTACTTGTTATTTATGATAACATGAAGCAACCCAGTGCAATCAGTGTCGACTGCTGATTTCTTGTCCTTGTACCCAGGAGCATTTATAAAACATTTGCAAACCTCCCACGGGTCTGTTGACCACTGGTGGACATCACTGTTTTTCCAAAAAGGTGCTGGTGGCATTGATGCATGATACTGTATAATGCTGTCATAGATGGCACCACATACATTGTTTGGACAGGGTCTCTTATTATTTGGAAAGCAACAGTTACATTTATCTTGTTTGAGGGGACATATCCCTTTTGAGACTCGGACATGATCTGGCTGGAGAGTTGTTATCTGACAGGCGCTGCATGGTATGTTTGGTCGAGTAGTCTTTGTTTGTTGTATTTGGTTTATAATATCATTGTGCTGCTGTCTTCCTATGTCATTACAAAATGGCGCAAGTCCCTCTTTAAGATAACCCAAGCCTAGGCCAGCCTTAACCCACTGCCGGTATTTGTTGTTCTTTAAATGTATCTCATGTGCCATCTTGATTTCTAAAAAGAAAAGAAATATTTTTAACAACAAGAATCCATGGAAAACCAACATTAACTATTACTAAACACAAACACTTGTATGCCCTAAAAGCTGGCCCTAGTTAAGGGACCATGAACTTTGACTTACAGTGAAGGCATTGTTATAATCACAAGATTACATATTGGCCCTAGATTGCTCAACTGAGATTTGTTGTTAATAAAATGGTCATATACAGAAGTAGATATAATTTGGGCCACATTGAGCGGCCAAAATCAGTTCAACCATTTCTACGCTTCAGCAATTAATTTCTATAATTTGCTTTCACATTTCAATCTGTGTCAAATGCAGAGTTTAAGCTGGGTCAGAAGTCATTTCTCCCTCAAGCTGATTTAGGGAGAAGTGAGGAGACTTTAGGTAGAACTTAGAAGTAATGTTAGGCGTCATCTCGAGACATATTTCCTGTCTTTTTTTTAATTTTAAGCAATGAAACATTACAAACCATAAAAGAAATGAGAAACAACTCTCAAAATCAATTCAATTATAGTTCTACTATCCATTAATGTACAGTACAGATTAAACAATTTACTAACGTCCGCCAACCCCCTTGATTATTTTACGGGTGGATTGTCACGGCAACATCCCTGCTACATTTTTGATTTTCCGTTATCAACTAATCAGGTGAAATTTGCGCTGCGGTATATCATCACTGTTGATCACTGTGAAATATTGCAGGTAGATCTGTCATCGATAGAAGCGATATCGATGTATCATTGATGTTCTTTGTTGATCGATTATCGATACACATTTTAGAAATTGATACTTTCATTAATTATCAAAAAGTCTAGAAATTACTATAGTATATAGCCCATATAGAACATTACTAATAGTTTGTTCAAGTACCCGTGGAAATGACGAAAATCAAACTCGAAACATAACGGAAACAGGTGCCCTGTCAAGGACAGGTCTAATACCAAAAGGACAACCACTGTATGGTAGCTGTATTTCGCTTCAGAAAACTTATTTCTTTGTGCTAAAAATGAAATATTTTTATATACGAAACAATCCAATTTTGAAAATTATTTTGTAAAATAAAAATCTGATAGATCTAAATCAATTATTATTATACTTTGAACTGTCTTTTGATCCGAGATTCATCATTCAAAAATGTCTACATTTTAGTCTATGCCCATATCTTAGCAACACTTAAAAATTGGTGTAAAACATAAAATTGTTGGGACAAAAAGAAAGCTAAACATTCAAAGCATTTAGGAACATTTTGGGTTTGTTCAAGAAAAGGGATTGTAAACTCAAACAAATTAGTCCCAAATAAGATTCTGTTGTATGATTGCCATTTACCCGCAATCTTGAGACCACATCTTGATCGTAAATATCTGGGCACGGTTAAAATAAGAGGGCCATGGTGGTTTTGAAATCACTCACCTATATATAGGCCCCTGGGCGAAGGCCAATTTTAGACCTGGGGCTTTTATTATAGCATTAACCTGGTAGAGACCCACTAGAAGAAAAATTTCAATAATTTGACCATCAAAGTCAAGGTCATTTATGAATGAAGGTCAAGGTTTGTCTGATTATTTTAAAGGGCTATCCTTAAAATCTTATTATGTTCAAATTTGGAGACAATCCATTCAAAAATAACAAAGTTACAGCCAATAATAGCAAGAGCAAGCAAAAGTTTGACTTTTGAACTTGAAAGTCAAGGTCATTTATGGATGAAGGTCAAGGTTAGTGTGATCTACTGAAAGGTCTTGTCCCAAGGGTTGTTGTGGCCAAGTTTAAAGACAAGACACCAAGAACTAAAAAAGTTACAATCCACATACATGATTGTGGACGGCAAAGGCAACGCCGCCAGGACTATAATAACAATACCTCTACTTTTTAAAAAAAAAAAAGTTGAGCTAAAAATTGCTTGGCTTTTTTCGTTAAGCTTCGGATTATGTGATCGTAACCCCCTAAATGAACATTTGGTATTAGACTTTCTGAAAAATAAAGTAAGGATGTTATGTTGACTCTAGGAGAGGGACGAATTTAGGGCAGACGACGATCGATAATCAATTTCTACATCCGATTATTAAATCCATGTAAGCAAAATGCTATTAAAATATAAAATCAGATATATACACTATAGGATACTCCATTTTTGCAATAAAAAGTTCCAAGTTAGGTGCGGAATATAGGGTCGGTCAGGTTACTGGAACCACAAGATAATTTTGTTTTGGCCTAATCTCAAGTGAATGAATCTCGCAAGAATCATCATTTTTAACATGAACGAATATAACTCATAATATTTATTTGAAAAACAAATATCAATAATAACCTCGGAAACAATACGGATAGAAAGTAGTTCTACCACCTGGTTTCAAATGTAAACAGGCACAGAGATTTTGTAAAACTAATGTATATATTTGACATCCAAAAGAAAAGGAATGTCTGTTTTGGTATTCTTATGGTTGAAAGTATGTCTGACAACAATTTGTAATTTAAATATTCTCACTGATGTACAATTTTAAACAAATCTGACTAAATGGCAACATGTTTGTTTTGTGTACTTTCGTCATAATAATAAATATATAAATTATGTATTGTTTGCTTTTTCTACCTATGAATTCACTTGTTTTAGGTTGACTTTTACTACATATATTGGAATAAACTTGTCAACAACTCCCAGCATACTATTTGTTTACATGTTTAGTTTGTTAGCGTAGGTCAGAACGAAATACCGCATCCGCATCCGTTCTGTGTATTCTTACTATTGTGCTCGATGTCCTTATCCGAAGACTGACGGAAAGGGACGAAAAAATGCGATTGAAGTTCTCGCTAAAGAAAAAAAAACATCCAATGAAAATGCGTTATTTAAACCACATGGTTTACACACGCATTTTTTTACGAAAGTGAGCGAAGACAATTATAGCGTTTAATAGAATTTTACAATAAAATTACAGTTTGCAGACAAATACTGTTAGAAACTTATTATTTTTATTATCAAAAATAATAATAATATTGATTTAATCGCCATTTATTTGCATTATTACTATTCATAAGTTTTCGCTCACATTGAAAAAAAAAACGAAAGTGACTTATAAGATATCAAAAAAGCTTTTAAATTGGAATTTATGCAAATATTGCAGTTTGTAGACGTATTTTTCATAAATGACTAATACTTTTATACCAAATTAATAATTATGATGATTTAATTTCTATACTGTATATACGTATAGAGATCTTCTTTTCGCTCACAGAAAACAATACGAACGTGATTTATTCGGACGACTGTGAGCGAGATAGGTAATGTATATTAGGTAATATAGATAACCTACTTCATAGGTAATGAAAGTAAAAATATTTAATGTAGCGTTAAACTGAATTTGCAGTTTGTAGACGTATAATATGAAAACTAAATTTGTTTGATGGATTTTTTTAAAAATCATTAAGATGATTTAATAATCATTTATTTGCATAATCATTATACATTAGCTGAGACATCTATCTTCTTTTCGCTCATTTTGAACCTGACGAAAGTGACTTATTGAAAATGAAATGTAGCGTTTAAATAGATTTTATTAATACTGTTACGGCCCAGGTGTAACGAGAAAGAAAAACCAGCAACAAACTTGTAACAATAACAAATTTATTACAGAAAAATTATTAAAGAAAAATTAAAGAACAATTTATGTTTACAAATACCTGAAGTCCAAATAAAAATATAAATTTCAAATGTCTTATCTGATCCTGGAATGATCCCTTTTTGAATAGCACAGTTAAATCCAAGTTAAATCCAAAAACACTTTAGAATAAATTCCCACAATAAAGTCCACAAGAATAATTTAAACTATTTTAAAAATCTCCAAGCTCCAATAAATCACTTAATATCCAAGTTGAATACTTTGAAAGGTAACTGATGACTTAAAGATCACTGATGACTTAAAAGGTAATACGAAAGAAAAATGTCTCCTATATATATTAAGCTAAGAAGTTTCTAGACTAGTCTTCCATTTTCTACAGTAATCATAATCTAGCAACTTCAACAATAAAGATCATTCCGGAAATTTCTATCTAAATATAATGCATGAGTTTTCTACAACAGTTAAGAAAGTTCTAGTACATACATGTAGTTTATGTTCTAAAAATAGAACAATGATAATATTGGAAATACCAACTGGTCAGATATAAATTATATACATGTAATATGTTGCATACATAACAAAACTAATATTGCAGTTTAAAGAAAGTACAGTATAAATACGTTATGTTCATATATTTTGTAGAAATATTAATGTATCATAAATGTCCCGATTTTCAGAGAAAACATATACTAGTATTTCAAAATATATTATCACAATTCATCAACATTGACATTGTTTAGCCATGAAAATTATCTTGCTTGATTATTTACGTGCAAACACATGTTGTCATAACAGTTTCGCGCCCACTTTAATTGACAGTTATCACGCGTTAATCCCACGTGTATGATGTTTAATGGCGACGAAAGAAAACTTCAAAGTCAGTGTACAGTATATTTAATTCTATAAATCCAACTTTCTTTCTATATCTATATAATTTGATAACATGAACAAAAATCATAAAACTCAAACAAAATCGATTTTTGCGTAAATAATTTTTTTGACTTATTTGTTTTTTTTTCTTTTTGGTTGTTTGTGATTCCTACCTTTATAGACGTCAGATAAACTTAATTCATATTTTTTCAGTAAAATTATATTGTCAGTGTTTATCTATTGCACCAACATTTAAAAACTGTTACGTATCTATTAATGTATACAATGTGTAATGGCCAATACATTTGTTCTATATCGCTTAGGTATTACTGTAATCCAATCATCAACTAATCTATATGTAACTGATGGCACTTGCCCATTGTTTATTGAAACTAGATATCTTTGCGCAGATTGCAGTGAAATTATGCTCATCCAAGTGTAAATGGTCAATGAATAGATTATCTTTGTGTTAAAATAATGTTTTACTTAGCAAAAAAAGAAAAAAAGAA